CCAGAGGACCTTTTCATTGGCCGCCCCAAGAAGACTGTGGAATGTCCTGCTGGAAGAGATCCAATAGCTAAATCCACTGTTGGAATTTAAAAGGCAACTTAAGACCTATCTCTTCCAACAAGCTTACCCAGTCAATTTTAAGTTGTGAATTTTAACCTGAATTTTATTGGCAAATGTTAACCTGCATTTACCTTTGTGTATTTGTTATATGTATTTTCATAGTGCTTTGTTCTACCTTGCTGTTTTAACTGTGTTGTACCCCTCCTCAAGCTGCAAGGGGATGTGGGTAATAAATAAATTAGTAAACTATTTTAAAAGCATTATTATTATTATTATTATTATTATTATTATTATTATTATTATTATTTTATCTCTTACCTGCCTCTATTCATGGCTTGAGGCAGGTTATGTCATGAGATGAGATCATGTTTTTAATATATTTATAACAAGCTAATAAATTCTATTTATGTTAGTCCTAATTGCTACATGAGAATGTAGCTGACACCTGACAAGCACATTACAATTTTAGTAATTTATTTATTTACTTTATTTACAATTTTTATATCCCACCTTTCTCTACCCCGAAGGGAATTCAAGAAGGCTTTACATATAGGCAACTCTTCAATGCCTTTGAAGAACATACAGTTAGAATACATTTAAGTTAAAATTTAAAATTAAAATTAATGCACATTAAAACATATAAAACATTTCATAATCCATAAACAGATATGAGCTTCTCAGGGATTCATAGTATATTGTAATGTAAACTTGCAGAAGCTTGAGGAAAAGGATTTTGAAAGATGTTATACTATGTAGACATGTGTATTTGGGGTAAACCTTGTCCCATTTCGTGTCCCGGCATTCATTGGGGGCTCCAATCCATCTTTTGTAAGCCTCCCGAAATGGGGAGCATTTTTTTTTCAGTTCTTTCGTTTCAGGACCTGAAAATCAGACCATTGGAGGGGGCTTCCCACCTACTGGCTCTCCTTCCTGGCATGCGTTCTTCTTACCTGGCACCTGCTGTTTCTACACTAGAGTAAGAGGCGCTTGGCTGTAGGCAGTGGCAGGCATGCATGCTTTCTGGGCCTGCCTGCATGCCCAGCCACACATGCACTCTCCATGGAAAGTGTGTGTGTGTGTAGCAGGGTGTGCAGGCAGGCCTGGAAAGCACGTGTGCCTGCCAGTGCCTACAGCCAAGCACCTCTTACTCTAGAGTAAGAGGCGCTCAGCTGCAGGTGTGCTCTGGACTTGCATGCAAGCCCCACGCCACACTCTCTGACACGCACTCTCTTCCCAAGGCAAGGAGTCAAGTTCAGATGCACATGAAAGCCGTCTTTCATGTTGAGCAGATTTTTGTGTGGGGAGGAGGCTTCCTGTTTTGTGCTTCCGAAGAAATGGAAGACATAAAAGAAATGGTAGAAATGGTAGGAGCAAATTTCGACCACATGTCTTATCTCATGGTGAATGGCAAATAAAATGAAATAAAAATAATTAAAGATGCATTATTTTTAATTAGAATTGTGGCCTTCACAATGTAGAGTTAAGCAGCAGTCATTTGTCTTTACACGCAGAAGTGAAATTATAGTCAACAGACATTTTGAACATTACTTTCCAAAAGTAATTCATAAAAAAACAACCTGTTCTTGTTATTCGTTACAGCGATTGAACAAAACGTAACTTGCTACATCACTTACTGTACTGCTCATTACTGCATTACTTTCTTTTTTAGGGGAATGAATGTATAAGTGGGAAGATAATGAAATGAAGCTTCAAAATGTTTGATCGAAATGCCTCTTCACATTCCCTTTAAAGTATTTTTTGAAAATGACTTGGATCCATTACTTGACACAATAATAGCCACTTTGACCCTTTTAAGACCTATGATTCCAAGAGTCTCTGATCTTCTGAAGGATGCTTATTAATATTTATATCCAATGGAAAAAAGATGTCCCCACATTTGACACACCTGACACCCTAGTGAAGAAAAGGGAGCACACCAACAAGCTTCTTTGTATGATATGTTCAAGCATTTAATTGGAAAATATTTCTTAGTGCACATGACTTTTCCATGCAGAAAATGTGTGTGTGTGTGTAGATAAAATATTTTACCTGCAGGAAAAGCAATATTTTACACTGAAGGCAATGTATTCCCAAAGTGGGAATTAAGTTTCAATATGTGTAGAAACTTTCCTATTCATGTGGAACAGGGAGACAGTATCTGCAATTACTGTCTGACAATCTACATCTCAGCTTACATTTTGTAAATTTATAAATCTATCATTACATTTTAGAAAGGCAGTGAAACCCTGTTAGTGAATTGCAAAGATGTGCACGTGGGCACTTCTGATGCACCTCAAGCATTTCTGATGAACATGGAATTATAGAATGAATTTTCGTCTGAATACAGGACTGCTTTCTATATGATGTGTTCTGCATATAAAGATTAGTTTGGCAGGATTTGTTCTTGACAAACCCATGCTGGTTGAATGTTTTCTGATCCAGACTACTCAATTGCCTCGTGCCTTGAGGCAGAATGACTGAATCCACATTCACCGCTCATGTGCCAGTCTGTGACTTGGGGCTTCCAGATTTCACAGTCCTTCTCCCATCACCACTCGCTGATCGCCATGGGACTTTTGGGTTTGTTTTATTTTTCTTTAAAGACGTCAGTGCACGAGTTTTTTTTAATGTATGGAGGTCAGTACACAACTGATCAACACGCAGTCTTCACAGAATGATGTTCCCAACCAAGGGCATGGTTACAAACACACACTAAACATGTGATTACTAAACAATGGACCATAAGAAGGTCAAATCAGTCCATACTCCAGGAAATAAAGCCCGACTGCTCACTGAAGGGAAGGATATTAGAGGCAAAGCTGAAGTACTTTGGCCACATAATGAGAAGACAGGAAATCTTGGAGAAGACAATGATGCTAGGAAAAATGGAAGGAAAATGGAAGAAGGGCTGGCCAAGGGCAAGATTGATGGATGGTATCCTTGAAGTGACTGACCCAACCTTGAAGGAGCTGAGGGTGGCCACGGCCGACAGGGAGCTCTGGTGTGGGCTGGTCCATGAGGTCACAAAGAGTCAGAAGTGACTGAATGAATAAACAACAAATTAAACAATGCACACAAAATATCCAGGAACAGAATGTCTTCAGACAGTGCAGAAATGGGATACAATGCTGGTGGAAACTTTAGAAACTTCATGGGTTTGTCAGATATGCACATTCTTAGCTAAACTTCACAAATCCTTTCTTTCTGTTTCCAATTTTAAAATGAAGACTAGGTTGCAAACCCCCATCGTCAACTCGTGGCTCCCCTGTGCTGGATTCACTCTGGTTTTAATCTGAAATTTCATGACATTATCTGAGGGGCTGAACCTGTTTTGAGACTAGGCATAAGCACTTTGGATTACGTATTTAAATTGTAAATGAAGAAGACCCAGAGCAAATGTATCACCCCAGTGACATAGAGGCTATCAGCCATCACTTCCAACTCCCCTATAAATTGGGACTTGCATCTGGCTTATTCATTTGTATCTATCAGTTGTTAACCTTCATGATCTTCTGATATTTATCTTTTTCTAAGCCATGTCTTGTAATTAGAATCCATCTCTTTATCTCTAGAGGCTGCAGGCTTCAACTCAGGATTGCTTAAAAGCAATTACATTTTGATATTGAAAATCTGTACACATGAACGTAGTATCATTTCCAATTAAAACTAGTAATGAATTTTATGTCCATAGAGACAGGGGGCTAAACAGTAATATGCTTGCCTTCTAGGATAAGAAGATAACACATGTAAACCAAATTCAAACAGCTTGGAAGTAACTAGTTACAAATAATGAGATACTTTTGTTTGTAATAAGTAAGGCAAGATTAAGTTACATAATAACCTTCAACAGCCCTTAGTGTAGCTTTAAAAACCACATGCGGACATTGACAATTGCATACTACAAAACTAATCAAAGATTAGAGGCTGCGGTGGCACAACGGGTTAAACTGTTGAACCGTTTAATCTGCTGACCTAAAGGTTGTCAGTTCGAATCCACAGGTTGGGGTGAGCTCCTGCTGTTAGCCCTAGCTCCTGCCAACCTAGCAGTTTGAAAACATGCAAATGTGAGTAGATCAATAGGTACTGCTTCGGCGAGAAAATAATAAAGGCGCTCATGCAGCCATGCTGGCAACATGACCAGGAGGTGTCTATAGACAACAGACTCCTCGGCTTGGAAATAGAACAAGAGCACCTCCTCATGGCCAGAGTTGAGCACTGCCCCCAGAAACCGTAAAAGGAAGGGGAAGCCTTTACCTTTGTTCTGTGTATTTGTTTATCACCGTTATTCCACTGTATTAAAGGCATTGAGTGTTTGCCTATCTGTGTATATTGTAATCTGCTCTGAGTCCCCTCGGGGAGATAGAGCGAAATATAAATAAAGTGTTATTGTTGTTATTATTATTATTATGCAGAATAGCAACATAGGACAAGGCACATGGAAAAATCCTATAGTTGCAGGTCTCTTAGAGTACAAGGAGAGAGCAGGAAGTGAGCTGCAGGGCATTATTAATTTGCTTGGGACAGAGCTAGAAGCCAATGACTCCATGTAACTGCTGCCGCAATCTTTTCAAGGTTATTGTCTGAAATGAGAGCAGAAAGTGAGTTCTGTTTTGGCAGATCATCTTTGACTTCCTGACTTTTTGAGCCTGGAAACAGAAAGGCAACAATTGATGCAGATTTTGTAAGGCTGGAGTTATGATGCTGCCATACACTTATGTCCAGCAAATTTGTTTTTCAGTGTATCATTCACCTGGGGTTTAGTGCTAATATTTGCATTCATGCTTGTTAGTGAAAGAATATATTCAAGGTAGCTGGAACTGAAGGAGAAGACTCCATGTTCAGGTAATCACACAGGCATCTACTGCAATGTTTGTCAAGTCTAGATGGTTTTGTGAGCTGACTATACCATTGCTTAAACCAGCGTTTCTTCTTCTTTCCAGGACTAGCCAAGCCAATGGGATTAGTGGAAGGCCCTGGTGGCCTGGGCCAAGGAGGAATGGCTGCCACTTTGAGAGATGATAGCCATGAATCTGAAACCAAATATGAAGAATATGGTTATAATGCCCAATTAAGTGATAGGATTTCATTGGACCGATCTATTCCTGACTACAGGCCAAAAAAGTAAGTAAACTCTGTTATGTCATTTATATTAGAAATTACCCTCTTCCCCATAATCCTAATGGCGTAACTGTGTATTAGTGAAAGGCAAATATTTGATGTCCAACTAACTGACTAAAAATGCCGATTTATGGTACAATGGAAGACTGTATCAGATGTTTAATTAATTGAGGGTTGATTCAAGCAGCCAGTTAAGTCCTACAGCTATGGGAACTTATCTCTGTATGTCAACTCTGGTGAATTCAGACATCTTTAGAGTCTTACTAGGCATGATGACAGTCTAATGCAGTATTTCAATGGGAAGTGTGGGACTGTTTTTGGCTGATTAGATAGTCAAGTTAATTAGGATTGTTGTTGTCTGCCTTCAAGTTGTTTCAGACTTAGGGTGGGAGGCGGATAAATGACCTTTGAGGGCCGCATTTGGCCCATGGGCCTCAGTTTGGGGACCTCTGGTCTACTGTCTCCAGAAGCTAAATACCTCTGAATACATGTTGCCCAGAAGAAGAAAAACAGTGGATGAGTGGCATTCCCAGTATGTTCTTCTTGTAGGCTTATCTTGTTAGCTACTATGGGAAACAAAGTTCTAGCCTAAATAGGCCATTTATCTAATCCATCGGAGTTTCTGTTAAGCCAGCTAGCATTATAGGTAGCCATATCTGAGTGTATTTTCTGATTGAGGGTGTTTGAGTTAAGTGGCTGGAGAAGCGTGACTGGGAGAGGGCAAAATTGCTGGTATTAATACAGGATGTAGCCCAGTATTAGTTGCAAGTTAAAGTTTCTGATGTTGTTAATTTAGGGGAAATATATATTTTAGGTTATAAAGCAAGAATCAAGCCAGTGTGGCTATACTTGCAGTAAGAGGGCTTGGGAACTTAAAGAAATTATTTTTAGAAATATTTGTAAAGCTGCTTCACTGTTCGGCTTGAGAGGTGTGTCTTTGGGTGGATCATATAGCACATATTTAATAATCATATAGACACAAACTGATTGGACTTTTAGGTACCCACCTGACTTACCAGAAGTTACCTCCCTTCAAAGAAATGAAAGTTAACTAGAAACCTACTACCACACATAAGCACACCACACCCAATCAGCTAGTAAAGAAAACCCATTGACTTATGGAAATTCACGTGTGTTGTAGGAAGGAGAAACTCACTTTGAAAAGAGTATAAAAGCCAACTGATTGTATGTATTGGGTGACAGTTTCACTTTTGACCTGCAGGAGCTGGGACTGTCCACCTTTATTTTCCTGACCAGAAAATAAATCTGGTTCTTTTCACCTATCTCAATTAAGTTTTGTTTTCTCTTCCTGCGCCTTCTCTAATCTTGCATCTTTACTGATTCACTACAGCAGGAGGATCTGAGGACCTGTAATCAAAAACAATATTTTTGTAAGATCTGCTACATTCCCTCCCTCCTCGTAGCTGAAGAAGGTCTCACACTTGAGCTCATCCCATTATCCCTCACTGAGAATAATGGGAGCTGTAGCTATAGAACACACGAAACATTTGGTGCCTTCTACTGACTGCTGTATGCATGGTTGGATTGCTTGATGCACTCCTTGAAATATTGTTTGAATTTCTACCAAGAATAAGCATGTTCATAGGACAATGGAGTTGGGAGAGACCACATGGGCCATCTAGTCCAACCCCCTGCCATGCAGGAAATGTTAGAAAAACCTTTTTCTGCTACTTGTCTTGGATGGCCAAAATGATATTTTATTCTGCCTCAGTAGCTGAGCATGGGTGTATATTAATAACTGGCTGGTTTTGAATGAATACTTCTTCTGTGTCAGTGTCAATTTGTTCTAGAAATATTTCCTACTAGCCCTGCTACATGAAATGGCTAGAGGTTGGAAGGGTCCAAATTCTCCTATTGATTTGTCCTTGTGAGGAATGAGTTTTTAGATGAGAAAGATGGTTTTTCAAGCTTATTTTGATCAAAATGAACTTAGTAAAGACCTTTTAATGATAATGAAGGAAAGGCATTTGAGTTACCATGTGCATGTGCTGCAGTACCATATTCTCCATGTCTCTTTGCTTTGATCATCAGTACAGTGTTTGATGTTTGTCTACTTAAGTACTCTCTCTTTTAAGTGGCTGTCATATTTATATGCTTCCAATATCCTCCAAGACAGATATCTTCCCTCCAACGTCACTGGAATGACCATTGGTAATATCTTAATGCAGCAACAGGAATGCGGCAGTGCTAAAGTGTTCTCTGGAGACAGGATGGAAAGGAATACTTAATTCCTAATAATAATCTTCTGTTTTAAAATCCCCATTGGGATTCCCAGACATAACTCAAAGTTTAAATAAAGCACCTTATTAAATAAAGAGATAAGTAGAGTCAATCTTGACAGATCTTCCTGTAGAGCTTGCTTCTATTTAAACAAAATCCAAGCAATTTTGTTGTGAACAGTGCGAAAAGCATGGATGAGGGAATGCCAGAGGAAGGTTCAGCAGTAGAGCTGGAGCCCAGCAATGAATAGCAGCCATGCCCTGCAGTAACATGGCAGAGTCCCTCAGCCATGCCCTGCAGTAACATCTATGGAAGGAGTGATTACTCAGCCCAATATAAGAGAAATTCTTCTGAGCAGGCTGAGGAGGAGTTAACTGTTCCTGCTTTTGTGGATTTAAGAAAATAAAGATTTCAGCTGTGAACGTCATTAAGGCTAGCTGAGAAGGCAGCCAGCAACAGGTAACATTTATGAATTTAGGATTTAAGAGATTGAATATTGCTATCTGGTTGCTATAACATCAGTGCTTGAGCAAAGACCCTGGACTCATGATCTCTCATGGTCCTAGAAACCTACTTTTGCATATTGACTTTGGACTTTGACACAACCTAGTATTGGAATTTTCTGGTGACTGGCTCTTGATCCTGGAATGGACATTTGGATTTCTCTCTTATGTATTCCTGTGATTGTTTAGCATCTCTGTGGACTTCTCGGCTAAACTTGGGACCGTTTATGTATGCTCTGCTTGTCTTTGGGGGTTGCGGCTTTGACACAATTTTTAGATAGCTAAGTGCTGAGGCAGAAGACTTACTTAGAATATAAGAGTAAATACAGAGTCACCCAAAAGGCTTGACATCATTAGGCATTAGGATTGCCAGGCTGATCTGTGCTGGGCCCTGAGATGATCCCTTGTGATGCAACAGGCTCTGATGATATTACCAGAGTAATATTATGGAGGGTAGACCCAAGTGATAAAGCATGATACTTTAAGCATCAACCGCACAGTATGGCATTCAGATCAAAATGATTAAGTTTAACAAATGTGAGAATGAACAGAAATACTCTCATAAATAAAATTTCTACAGCCTATGTGTGTTGGCAGGATATAAAATTATTGGGAAATGCTTCATAAAAATGTAATAAACATTGGACCTATCTGGGGGTATACATGATTAGCTGATAGAATTTAGAACTTTTGCAACAAGGACATGGGAATCTATAGCACAGTGGTTCTCAACCTGGGGTCCCCAGATGTTTTTGGCCTACAACTCCCAGAAATCCCAGCCAGTTGTTAGGATTTCTGGGAGTTGAAGGCCAAAAACATCTGGGGACCCCAGGTTGAGAACCACTGCAGTATAGCAGGTTCTCAGAGCAACCTCAATCAGTGGTTGATGATGGATGAGAAACTCCCCCCTGGCACACAGAAAGCAGAGTAACTTGGAAGGTGCTGAACAGACTGCGCTCTGGCACCTCAAGATGCAGAGCCAATCTGAAGAAATGGGGCCTCAAAGTGGAGTCCACAGCATGCGAGTGTGAAGGAGAGCAAACTACAGACCACTTATTACAATGCAGTCTGAGCCCCGCTACATGCACAATAGAGGACCTCCTTCCAGTGATACCAGAGGCACTCCAAGCGGCCAGCTTCTGGTCAAAGTACATTTAGTACAATGCCAAGTTTTTAACTTAGTGGTTATTTTTATACATTGTAAATGTATTCTCAATTTGCTTCTGACATGATAAATAAATAGAGCATTCTATTACTTAGGCTTGAGATGAGGATTGAGTTGCAAAAATGGAGTCCTCTGATCCTTCCCCCACCCCACTCAATAGATTGCCAAGGGTTACATGGTAGTCAAGCACATTCTACTCCTATTGCACCTTCCCTGTAGATAAATGGCTAATGGATTTAAAGAGTCCTCATTGTATTGAAGTGATGAGCCAGAAGATCACTGGGTTTGACAAGAGCAAGGAAAGTCATTTCCTGTGGTATCTTTAGCTGTATTTTAGAGAACCAGGGCCATAATTGCTATGGTAGTTGGAAACTATATTTGCCTGCAATAATGTGTCAGTTATTTTAACATTAATTTCAATGCTGGGGAGAGAGTTGAAGTTCTACTTTCTTCATTATATGTGTGACAAAAGGTAGAAGCAGATCTTTGGTGGATCAGAGAAAAGGCTTGTCTTTACATTGGTTCTGTTCCTATAGTGGCCAACACAATTGAAGACCCCTAAAGGAAGACATGAGTGCAATGCTTCCCCAACAACTGACATTTGGAAACAGAGCACCTCTAGGTATTGGAGGTGGTAGATCTGTCCAGGCCAGGTGTAGGAACTGTGCTGCATATGGACTGTATGCACCAGCAGGGAGAAGCTTTTGAATTCTGGTTTCCCCTAATTTCATGAAAATTGTTACTTCACATGGGGGCTTGGTCTGTCAGAAAATGGGGTTGGTTTAGCTTCAGAACCTTCTCTGGATGCTCACGTTTGGTCCAAATGAAGGACCGGATTGACATTTTGTTCAGAATCCTATTGGAGCACTACAGGACAGCTAGCATAAAAACAGCTGTTGAAGGAATTGCACTTTCTCAGAGGTTATTTAAGCGCAACTTGGTGCAGCAGATTGTTTTGCAAGTAGAAATATGGTCCCTTCATACTTTTGATTTTATGAGAGGAGAGCTAACTGACACTGTGCAACATGTTAGCTCAAGTCTTTGGCAAGTGCTGTGTACACAGTTGTACAATTCTAGGAACCAGTGTAAATAGGCAGCCATGTTTTATTCTTGGCTCTGCATGACCTCAGCTACTTTGCTATAAGGTGGTAGGAGTCACTACCATACCAGTATTTCCATCCTTCACCAGAATGGTAGATCTCTTTCTTTTAATAGACATTAGCATCCAAGACATGGAAGCCATACTTTCTTATTTATTTGTTCTCTAACTTTTATTTTGTCCTCTTTCCATAGTCTCTTTCCATATATAGTTGTGAAATCATTAAGTTGGAATGAACCACAAGGGTCATGGATATTCACTCACCCTTGTGGTTCATTCTAATCCATCCTGCCATAATTTGAGCACTCCCTTAAAAAAAAACAAAAAAACATCCAAAATGAGAGTTCACCACTGTCATTTCACTTTCATGTCATGTCAGAGTCATGGCACCCCTCCATCTTCTTTTCAGCAAGTTGCATCATTCTTAAATCACCACCATTCTTTGTATTGAGATTGTTAAGTGATTTCAGCTCCACTAAATTGTGGGTTTGAAAACCCAGAGTGCCCTAGCTACTTCCAGAAGGCCAAATTATGACAGATGGATGTGAAAGCAAAAGCTTAATGGCCAAAAAGGATATCAGCAGAACTAGTGCTCAGAGTGAATACATGGGTTATTTATAGCGGTACAGAACAATTGGAAATTGCAGTCCTGGCTTCCCATTGGTCTTGGAGGTTACCAGCTAGGATCCACAGCCTCATTGGGCCAACCAGAGGTGAAGCAGGAAACTTAATACATTGTAATTGCTCAGTTTGAAGTTTTGTGTCTGTTAGGAGTTCTTCCCAGAAACTGGGTGTGTTTGGTCGGAATGGAGTTTGATGAGTGGTAGATGGGGCCTCATAGTCCAATACCAGTTAGACCAGCTAGACCAGTGGTTCCCAACCTTGTTTTGACCAGGGATCACATGAACAGGGACCACATTGACCAGGGACCACTTTCCAACATTTGTACCAAAAGGGTTTTTAATCAGCTTTTGGTCTACTTTTGGTCAACTTTAGATTTGATTTGGTTATTTGAGGTCCTGATTCAGAAAATTGCATTGGAAAGACCACATCAGTTCTAGTTTCTGATACAGAACATACCGGTATGCCATCCAGTAGTCGCCATCTGCTCGCCCACAGAAAACAATATTTAATAATCTAGAGCTGATGAGGTAGTAGTAATCTTTCGTGGGTAGTCAGCCTCTCCCCTCCTGACATCCCCGTTGCCCCGGCACTAGAAGAGGGTTTCTCGAGACCAGTCATTCTTATTGCCGCATGGTTTCAAGGCAATGGTTTAGTAATGGTGAGGCTGCAGACCATATATTTTGTTATTGCAGACTACTGGTGGTTCACGGACCACAGGTTGGGAACCACTGAGCTTGACAAAGGATGGCCAATGGACAAAAATTGCAGGTACATACAATGGAGGAAACCCAGAGGAGGTCCAGTTAGGTACTATAGATGAGGCAAGTTCCTCAGAAGAGGACAAAAAAGGGCATTGGGCAGTTTCTGTGACCTCCATTGTTAGGGAGAGGATGACCTTGTTAGGTGATTCTGGGGCGCTGTTCTTCATAGTCCAAGGTGTGGTGAGGCAACATTCCAATGAGATTCATGAAAGGTTACTTTGCAAGCAAAGAGGGAAAAACCCAATGTGCTGGATGTGTTATCAACAGATAATAATTCATATATTTTATATAATTCATATCATTGGGGTATATGTGTCAGATTTATGACCTCTCAATAACAAGATCATGCTGAGTGATCAATAGTTGCTTGGTCCTAATGTTTGCTTACTTTCTTTAAAAATCAGGATATTTCCCTTTATTTATTTGCTATACTTCTTATTTGCTATACTTGTATACCGCTGTTTCTCAGCCTAGCCGGCGACTCAACGCGGTTTACAAGAACTCTCAAAGATGACCAACAGTTCCTCTATGATTACATTGCAGATTTCTCTAGTACTTTTGCATGTACTTCATGCAGCCTTTTCATTTTGAATTTGTTTCGATTAATGAGGCATTCCTGTACTCCTGTGTGTCAAGGTCTTATTGAATTCTGGTCTTTTCCTGTGCAATATTAGTAACCCTTCCTAATTTGGTGTCATCTACAAATTTGATAAGTCTGCCAGCTGTTCCATCATCCCAGTCATTTACAGACGCTTTGAACAGTACTAGACCCAGAACAAGTCCATGAGGTACCCTACTAATCACATCTCCCCAAGATGAAGAGCAACCATTGATTTACAACTCTCTGAGTTCTGTCTTTCAACCAATTACAGATTCACCTAACTATAACACTGTGTCTAGCCCACACTAGCCTATGAATTTCAATGAGGAGACATGTAATATGCTACCCATAGATAAGAAAAATGGATTACACAAATATAGGATAGGTGACACCTGGCTTGAGAACACTTTATTTGCAAAGGATTTGTTATCGAGGACCTCAGACACCGCTCCCCTTTATAAAATATATACATGAATTGGACTCCATGATTCATAGTTCTCCCAAGGACGGAGGCCATAATGAACTGGAAATGGCTTCCGTCTCTCACGGTCCCTCAGGACCTTCCAGGACTGGCAGCAGCCCACCCAACGTGACCCCTGGACTCCTATGCACCCCCATGCTGTTTGGCTCGGGCTGGTTCGCACCAGCTTGTCTCCGCAGCACTGAAGCGAGGGTGAGCCAGCTGTTTCTCGCCCCCCTCCTAACCTTTATAGCCAAAACATTTCCATTTCCCAGCCCCAGCTACTTTGTATCTCATTCATTCCTTCCCTGGCTACTATATATCTCCCCCCACTTTTCTCCTTCTTTTTCTTATTTTAAGTTTCTGACACCCTAGCAGTTCAAAAACATGCAAGTGTGAGTAGATCAATAGGTACCACTTCTGTGGGAAGGTAACAACACTCCATGCAGTCATACTGGCCACATGACCTTGGAGGTGTCTACAGACAGTGCTGGCTCTTCAGCTTAGAAATGGAGATGAGCACCAGTCCCCAGAGTCGAACAGGACTAGACTTAATATCAGGGGAAACCTTTACCTTTACCTTTATTATTACTTTATTATTAAATTCTATAAAAGAAAGGCAAATGTTCATGAACTCAAAACTATATGCTCCAGTAACCTCTCCCCCTTGAGCAATCTTCCAGACACCACATCCACACCCCAGATGCCAACCAAAGATGGGTCATAATCCTTAGACAAAGAACCTTCCTGGATCCCAACAAGAGGCCATCTGTTTATGGCTCCAAGATATCTTCTTGGAGATCTTGGATAGTCACAGAATAAAGGTTGAGACTATCCTATCTTCAAATCTACATCTCAGGACTCTCTCTTAGTCTCTGGATGTGAAAACCCATCTGGGACAACAAACCTCATAGTGTCATCTGGCAGGGCCATGCATTTGCATAATCCTATCAGATTGGCTTTGGACTTTTCCTTTGTTCACCCCATTCCTGGACTACACACCCAGGTGGCTGGCATGATCCCCGGAGCTTCCTCCCTCCCCCAGACAGCCTTCAACAGCTTCCAGACTTTCCTGCTCAGCTGGTAGGAGATACCTGGCTACGTCACCGGTGCACACCAGCTTGGACCTGCCTTCCAGCCAATTAGAGGCCTGGGAAGAGGAAAGGAAATTTTGAAAAGGGACAATGTCAGTGAATGGGAACTTTTGTATTTAAAGATGCTTGCCTGTGAATGTATATTCCCACACGTACCCTTCAAACACCTGTGCTGTACAAGTGTCCCTTTCGCACAAATTGAATAAAGTCTCTGTCACTTGCCTTCAACCTTGTGAGATCTTCGGTTCCTGATTGTTGTTTCGGTATCCACGTTAGTAGCTCGCCAGGCGTCCCTCAGGACATAGCTGAAATACAAATTCCAGCATCATATTTAGTAGACTGCAAGCTCAACATGAGTCAACACTGTGATGCAGCAGCCAAAAAACCAATGTAATTCTAGGCTGCATCAATGTATAGTATCCAGATCAAGGGAGGTCATTGTTCCATTTTATTCTGTTTCAGTGATAGCTCACCTGGAAAACTGTGTCCAGCTTTGGGCACCACAATTCAAGAACGATATTGAAAAATTGGCATGTGTGCAGAGGAGGGTTACAAAGATGATTAAATTTCTAGAAACCAGCTTTATGAGGAGCATCTTAGGGAACTGAATATGCTTAGACTGGAGAAAAGAAGTGGCATGATAATATTTTTAAATATCTGAAGGGCTATCATGTAGAAGATTGAGCAAGCTTATTTTCTGCTGCTCCAGGGACTAGAACCTAAACCAACAGATTCAAATTACACCGTGATTCCACCTAAACATAGGGAAAACTATTTTAAACTATAAGATCTGTCTGAGAATGGTATACATTGCCTTGGTGGGTGATGGTCTTCTTCTTTGGAAAGCTTTAAAAAGAGGTTTAATGGGCATCGTTCAGAAATGCTTCAGTTTTGTACGCACAAGAGGGGACTAGAATAGGTGACTCTTGTAGCCCTTCTAATACTATGATTCAAAGATTTTATAGCATTATTTTGCCTAGCATGTGGGGGGGGGGGGAATCAAAAATGAAAAATTGTGGAATATAAGTTTTTTCACTGTTTCACAGAGATGCAAATGTTTTGCAAGAGTTAAATTCTTTAATCACTGGTTATGGAAAAGTTTGCAAATATTCTTTACATCTTTAGCAACCCAGTCATAAAAATTCAGGGGGGTCCATTTATATGGTATATGACAAGTTAATTGTTTCTTGAGTGCTCAGTGGGTCTTACTTCTCCCTTTGTTCTCTCCAGGTGCAAACAGATGTCCTACCCCAATGACCTCTCTCAGATCTCAGTGGTCTTTATTTTTGTAAATGAGGCTCTTTCTGTCATCTTGCGCTCAGTGCACAGTGTTGTGAATCACACTCCATCCCACTTGCTTAAGGAGATTATTCTGGTGGATGACAACAGTGACAATGGTGAACATTCATAACCTTTTTCCTTTATTTTTCTGCTTCTTATTATCTGTCTGTTTGTGTTGCCTGTAAGGACAGAAAGCTGTTAATTGGGGAGGGGGATATATCTTAAGGGCTATATTACTTGTGTATTTATTTTCTATATGGGGAGATGGTGTGCAAATCATCTGCTCTAGACATGAGAAGAAAAACTCCATGGTAGAAGTATAATTTTTGTAGACAAAAAGTTAAATTTTACTCGATATCATCAGGTAAAGCTAGATGAGGAATGGAGAACTTCCAGATGTTGTTATAATGCAGTTCTCAGTATCCCTTGCACAATAACACATTTCTCATCCATTGACTAGAATAAATTCTTGTTTGAAAGATTTAAGAAGCACTGCCACTCAGGGTAAACTTGGGTTAGGAAGGTGGTGGACATCAGTTGTGTTTGTATTACAACTCTTTTAATTCCCAGCTATCATGATAAAAGAGTGTTGATTTGTAGTCAAAACTACTTGGAGGCCACCAGGTATATTTACTAACTGAATTAGTGGCCAACTTTCTCCATTCTGCTGAATTGTGATTCTCTGAATTGTGGGCTAGGCAAAACTATGGTTAGGTGGATCTGTAATTGGTTAAGCGAACGACCCCAACAAGTGATTCTCCCCAATGCTTCCTCTTCATCATGGAAAGAAGTGATGAGTGGAGTGCCATCAGCAGGGTTCTGTCCTGGGCCTGGTTAATGACTTAGGTGAAGGTTAGAAGGTATGGTCATCAAGTTTGCAGATGACACCAAATTGGGAGGGAGAGCTCATACTCCAAAGACAGGAGCACAATTCAAAATGATATTAACAGATTAGAGAGATGATTGGCCAAAACTAACAAAATGAAGTTGACAGAGACAAATGCAAGATACTCCACTTAGGCAGAAAAAATGTAATGCAGAGATACAGAATGGGGGACGCCTGGCTCGACAGTACGTGTGAAAAAGATCTTAGAGTCCTCATAGTGAACCAGTTGAACATGAGTCAACAATGCGATGCAGCGGCTTAAAAAGCCAATGGAATTTTGGCCTACATCAATAGGAGTCTATTATTATTATTATTATTATTATTATTATTATTAACTTTATTTGTACCCCGCTAGCATCTCCCGAGGGACTCGATGCGGCTTACACAGGCCGAAGCCACAAAACACAATACAATAGAAAACATAACACAACAATAGCAGAGCAAATCAAAACAATAAGCAAATAACGACAATGACAATACAACAAGACATTATTAAAAACTGGTTCGGCCGGCGCAATGGGGTACAGGGTTAAAAGTGCTGAAATGGTAGGAGGCACGTAGGATTAAAAGTGCGGTGTGCAGCAGCGATTAGTTATGCTAAGGTGCTACTAGGACTTGGGGTGGGGATTTCTAGTCTGAAAAGGCACATCGGAACAGCCAAGTTTTTAAATTCCTTCTGAAAACAGCTAGAGTGGGGGCCTGTCGGAGATCTTTTGGGAGGGCGTTCCAAAGTCGGGGGGCCGCCACAGAGAAGGCCCTGTCCCGTGTCCCCACCAAGCGCGCTTGCGATGTAGGTGGGATCACGAGCAGGGCCTCCCCAGATGACCGAAGCGAGCGTGTGGGTTCGTAGATGGTGATGCGGTCACGCAGGTAGGGTGGTCCCAAACCGTTTAGGGCTTTGTAGGTGAGCACCTGCACCTTGAATTGGGCTCGGAAAATAAATGGCAGCCAGTGGAGCACCTTAAACAGGGAAGTCATGCTACCCCTCTATTCCGCCTTGGTCAAGCCACGTTACCTGGAATCACACTGTGTCCAATTCTGGGCATTGCAATTTAAGGGAGGGGTTAACAAGGTGTTCGATCTCGTCTCATCTTACCACGGACAATTAAATATCCAGAATGCTCTGGACAATTCTATGTAGATCCGCTGCTCTCAGACACAAACTTGGCTGTGACGTACAACATCGCTAAGTTCTTCACAGCTGCAATTAAAATTCGGCAGACGATGATTGAGGGTTAAAAGACCTAAGCTTCTCCTCTGGAATATAGATGGGAAATCAGATATAGACTGATATTTATAGGGTTGGATATTCCCCCCCTCCCCGGTGCCATTCCCACTACCTCTCTTTAGACTGCGTTGGATGATCTTGTGGGTTAAGTTAGGTTTTAATAACTACTTGTATTGGTCTTTAGTTTAGATTTTAAAATTTGTTGAAATTTGAAGTGTATAACCCCTTGGGTTTGATGTGAATGTATGGGACTGGGTCCCCATGTTGTGATCTGGTCATCGACCGTAATAAACTTTACTTACTTACTTACTTACGTATTCCACAATGGACTTTTTCAAAGACCAATCATATAGCCTCAAGACCATCATGGTGTGGGCAGTGTAGGGGACAATCTTACTAATTTCTAAAATTTTCAATATAGAAATAATAGATCTGAAAGATCAAGAATTGTTTTTGTAATTGAAAAATAATGGTGGAAAATATAACTTTTGGATCATACTATGCATGCAACAAAAGTAAGCTATCTTTAAGGAATTGAAGATAAAGAAGGACTTATTATTGGAGGTGATACTAATTGCATAACGGATTAAATAGTTTTGCTAGGCAAAAAGAGACGGAATAATGAGGGATGTAAAATACTTCATCTCCTACCTACATTGTTGATGCACAAAGAACTTTATATCCTAAAGGAAAGAAAGACACATATTATTCAGCCAGACATATCAGTTATTTTTTTTATCAGAACATTTACTAATACAAGAAAATGCCAAAATTAAAATATATATTCTTTTCCCATGCTTTACATTCATACCATTCACTAATAATAGCAAGATATTAGTAAAGGTAAAGGTTTTCCCTTGACATTAATTCTATCCGTGTCTGACTCTGGGGGGTTGGTGTTCATCTCCATTTCTATGCCGAAGAGCCGACGTCCATAGACGCCTCCTAGGTCATGTGGCTGGCATGACTGCATGGAGCACCATTACCTTCCCGCAGAAGTGGTACCTATTGATCTAGTCACACTTGCATGTTTTCAAACTGCTAGGTTGGCAGAAGCTGGGAATAACAGCGGGAGCTCATGCTGCTCTCCGGATTTGAACTGCTGATCTTTTGGTCAGCAAGTTCAGCAGCTCAGCAGTTTAACCCACTGCACCACCAGGGGAGCAAAATAGTGATCAGAAAGAAAAAAAGAACACAAAATACAACTGAGAAATGCTTGTTGTAAATCCAAGAGTTTGAGAAATGCTTGTTGTAAATCCAAGAGTTTTGTGTTCCTGTCTTGTGGGTCTGAGCAGATGTGGTTGTGTCTGATGGCTTGGCTGTAAACACTAGAAACCGATGGGGTCAGGCATGTAGCCGGGGGGGGGGGGGCTTTGGGGGCTTCACCCCACCCCCACCCCGAAATTCTCATGGTGGTCTGCGAAAAGGCCTTACTGGTACATTATTTAGACTATTGTGTTTATTCATATCATGATCTGATCACCATGTTCAATATATCTCATATGCATGGGGGTATTGGGGTAACGATACAAAAGGTTTGCTAGGAGACCCTCTTTCACTCAGACTCAGCCCCCCCCCCCCCCCCCCCCCCCCCCCCCCCCGAATCAAAATCCTGGCTATGGGCCTGGGTGGGGTGTTAGTATTTGTGGTAACCAGAGTTTTCAACCATGGTGCCTAGAAGTCCATTGTGCCGTTGTACAATGGGGTCAAGGAAGTGAGTTTGTTGCTTGAATTGTTCCAGGCTCGGGTTAATGGTAGAGTGGATGTTGTTGAAATCCAGTGGAGCAAATTTCAAATGATTGATTCCCACATGTCCAGATTGTAAAGAGATCATCAAGATGTCATCAAGAAATTGTAGGTAGAGGAAGGATTTTTTGGTACATGTGCCGAGGAATCATTGTTCCAGGTCAGCCATGAAGAGTTTGCATGCTGTTGTGCCATGCAGGTGCCAATGGCAGTAGTAGTGACTGCTACGTATTATTCCCAAAAGGAAGGTACTTATGAGGAAGTACAAAGTGACAGGGTTTGGATAGCTAGATCTGCTAGGATGGTATTCTTGATGGCTTGTAGTCTGCCGAGGTGTGGGATGTTGGTGTACAGTGACCCCATATCCATAATGGCTAATATGGTGTTCTATGTGATATTGTGAATAAATTTTATTTCCCTCAGGAAATTAGTTGGATTGTTGATAGCATAATACTTGAGAACTGATTCCATATAGAATCAAAGTTGCAAGAGATCACAAGGGCCTCCAGTCCAATCCCTTTCTGCCATGATGGGAAAAAGCACTATCAAAGCATATGACCATCCAGCTCGTGTTTAAAAGCCTACAAAGAAGGAGCTTCCACCAGATTCCGAGGCGGAGAGTTCCAGTTTTGAACAGCTCTTTTTACAGTCAGGAAGTTCTTCCTAATGTTCAGGTGGAATCTCCTTTCCTGTAAGCTGGACCCATTGCTCCACTGAGTCCCAGTCTCCAGGGCAGCAGAAAACAAGCCTGCCCCCTCTTCCTTGTGACAGCCTTTTAAATATCTAAACATGCTCAGGTCTTACAGATTCAGGCCCATGAGTTCCTTGGCTGAGTCTATCCACCTGGAATGGGCTCTTCCTCTTTTCATCCTGTCTTCTTTTCATACTTACCAAGCATTATTGTCATATCTGGTAATTCATGTCTTCTGATGATATGGCCGGTCCAACAGCCTCAGTTTAATCAACTTGGCTTTTAAGGAAAAAATCAGTCTTGATGTGCTATAGGACCCTTTTTTTAGTAGTCCAAGGTAACCATAGAGCTCTTATCTAGCACCACATTATTTAATGAGCTGATGTTCTTGCTATCAATTGTCTTCATTGTCCAGCTTTCACAACCACACATAGAAATTGGAATTCCTAACTTTAGAATTAATGATGTATTTTGTCACTTCATGATCTTGTCTAGTTTCTTCATAACTTGACTACAGTTTCCATTACGATTAATGACTGAGCTCAGGTATTAATTCATTTACAGCAGGCATCCTCAAATTATAGGAGCCCCCAGTGGCGCAGTAGGTTAAAGCGCTGAGCTGCTGAACTTGCTGACCGAAAGGTCGCAGGTTCGAATCTGAGGAGCGGCATGAGCTCCCTCTGTTAGCCCCAGCTTCTGCCAACCTAGCAGTTCAAAAACATACAAATGTGAGTAGATCAATAGGCGGGAAGGTAACAGCACACCATGCAGTCATGCTGGCCACATGACCTTGTAGATGTCTACAGACAACGCTGGCTCGTCAGCTGAGAAATGGAGATGAGCACCAATCCCCAGAGTCAGACACAACTGGACTTAATGCCAGGGGAAAACCTTTACCTTACCTTTACCTTTACCTAGCAGGCATCCTCAAATTGTAGCCCTCCAGCTGTTTTGACCTCTAACTCCCAGAATTCCTAACAATATAACTAGTTGGCTAATGCTTCTGGAAGTTGGAGGCCCAAACAGCTGGAGGGTTGCAGTTTGAGGGTGCCTGATTTATAGAGTTCCAGTGTCCCACCCAATTTACTTTTGGGATACTTAATTATACTAGATATGGGATTTCCCCCATCCTCACAAATAATATTTAATCCTGGGAAGGGGGAGGTGCTAACTATTAAGTCATTTGCTCAGTATGATTAAATTTCTCACTTTCAGACCATCATTCCATAGATGTGTTTAATTCTAACCAAATTCTTTGCTCTCTGTGCTTTTTACAGTTGAATTGAAATTCAATTTGGACCAGTACGTCCAGAAAAGATACCCAGGTCTGGTGAAAATAGTTCGCAATAACAAACGGGAAGGGCTGATTCGCGCCAGAATCCAAGGTTGGAAAGCTGCAACGTCTCCAGTTGTTGGGTTTTTTGATGCTCACGTTGAGTTCAACATTGGCTGGTAAGACTCTATGACAGACAGCAAACAGATATGGCATGAAAACAGGTGGTGGGATTTGTTTTCTTCAATGTATAGATATACCCTCTATCTTGCCCAGGTCAGCAGTCTGACCATTTCATTTTGTTTCAGGTGAAGCTTCTAAACATCTTTCCATTGAAGACCGACATACAGTGCATTTAAAATAGTTCAATGAGTATATACTAAGAAATGTGCCATGCACACATAACTCTGATGTCTCCAGAAAGGGACCTATTTCATCACTACATTTAAGGATGGAAGCACAGCCCTGCTTGCTTTAATAAGCATTCTATCAAACACAATAAGGTGGTGCTGAGGCTGTCAGTGCTTTTATTGTGTGTGTATGTGCCTTCAAGCCACCTGTCAGCTTATGGTGACCTCATATATTTCACAGGGTTGGACAGAGCAGGTCCAGGGCTTCAAGTTGCATTCTATTTCGAACAGGCAAGAGTGGAAGAGGCTTTCTTTTTCCTATTGAAGCCTGTCCAAGCAAGGTGTTCTGTGATCTCTGGTGCACTTCTGTATTATTCAGTTCTGCTTACTCCTTGTCCATTGCTTCCTTCTAGATCTATGGTTCTAACCTATTTTTGACCAGGGACCACTTGAGCAGGGACCACTTTGACCAGGGATCACTCTCCAGCATTAGTACCAAAAGGGTTACGGATGGGTTTTGGGTCAACTTAGATTTGGTTTGGTTATTTGAGGTGCTGATTAAGAAAACTGCATTGGATAGACTACATCAGCTCTATTTCTGATACAGAACATATGCCATCTAGTAGTCACCATCTGCTCTCCCACAGAAAACCATATTTAATAATCTAGAGCTGATGTGGACTATCCAATGGAATTTTCTGAATCAGCACCCCAAATAACCCCAGGAACAGGCCTAAATATGAAGACACCAAGGTGTCCCTTCTTCCATGCGCCACAGGGAACGGCTCCACTCAGGGCCAAGGAGGAGGAGAAGCAGCAGTCAGGAGGCTTGTTGTCGTGTCTTTGGTGGGTAGTCAGCATCTCCCCTTGCAACATCCCTGTTGCCTCAGCACTGTAAGAGGGTTTCGCGAGACCAGTTGCTCTCGTTGCAATGGTGTAGTAATGGTAAGGCTATGAACCATATTTTCGTTCTTGCAGACCACTGGTGATCCACAGACCACAGGTTGGTAACCACTGTTCTATATATTCTGAACCATTGCGAGAAGCATCTCTGGTTTCCAATTAAACAGGAGATAACTGGAGGCCATTTCCCCTTTTCAGTTTAAAGCAGTGGTTCTCAAACTTTCTAATGTCACGAACCCTTAATACAGTTCTTTGTATTGTGGTAACCCACAACCATAACATTATTTTCGATGCTTCTTCTGAACTGTAATTTTGCTACTGTTATGAATTGTAATGTAAATATCTGATATGCAGGATGTATTTTCATTCACTGGATCAAATTTGGCACAAATAACTGATACTCCCCAATTTGAATACTGGTGGGGTTGGGGATGGGATTGATTTTGTCATTTGGGAGTTGTAGTTGCTGGGATTTATAGTTCACCTACTATCAAAGAGCATTCTGAACTTCACCAACAATAGAATTGAACCAAACTTGGCACACATAACTCCCATGACCAACAGAAAATACTGGAATGGGTTTGGTGGGCATTGACCTTGAGTTTGGGAGTTGTAGTTCACCTACATCCAGAGTGCACTGTCGACTCAAACAATGATGGACCTGGACCAAATTTGGCACAAATATGCTCAAATGTTAACACTGGTGACATACTGGATATTCATTGACATACTGGATGTCAATGATTAACATCCTACTGATGTACAGTCACTAGAAAACCTTAATAAAAACAATTAAAAAAATGTTAACACTGGTGGAGTTTGGGGAGAATATACCTTGACATTTGGGAGTTGTAGTTTCTGGAATTTATAATTCACCTTCAATCAAAGAGCATTCTTAACCCCACCAACGACAGAATTGGGGCAAACTTTCCACACAGAACCCCCATGACCAACAGAAGATACTGTATTTTCTGATGGTCTTTAGCAACCCTTCTGACACCCCCTCGCAACACCCCCCCCCCCAGGGGTCCCAACCCCAGGTTGAAAAATAGTGGTTTAAAGATCATGAAATGAAGCAAACATACAAGAAACACACTTTTTATTTCAAGAATTGTACCCTAGGGGCTTCCAGATGCACAAGTCTCAATTTTTCTTTTGAAAAATTATGCTGGAGAATCTTGGAACACCACAAAAAAAAAATCCCTCTGTGCCACTTATAGCATGCAAGCCACAGCCTCCCCACCTCTGTTATAAAAGAATGCATGAAATAGCATGTTTGCATCCATGTCTGCCAGATCTGTTTTAGAAATCCCACAAATAAAACTAGAACAAACCTTCGAAAAGAGTGTGAACTCAGGAAAATCCATTCAACTCTAAATGATGACAGAAGATTAGACAAAACTAGCTTAGTTTTGGGATCTAAGAGAAAGAAGTTTCAATCCACTTCCGACCAACCATATAGTTAAATTACAGTATGTGCCTGAGGAAATATCAATTACTGTATATACTTGAGTGTAAGCCAACCTGAATATAAGCCGAGGCACCTAATTTTACCATGATAAACTGGGAAAACAGATTGACTCAAGATTAAGCTGAGGGTGGTAAATGCAAAGTAACATAATAAATGTAATAATAATAATAATAATAATAATAATAATAAGTAAAACAAAATAATAATAATAATAATAATAATAATAATAATAATAATAATAACAGAGTAAAATAATAAATAACCTTGCCTTGAGTATAAGCCGAGGGGAACTTTTTCAGCCTAAAAAAAGGGCTGAAAAACTAGGCTTATACTCGAGTATATACAGTAAGTTAAAAATAATTGAAATGAGTGAATATCCATGAACATCCAGTCTAAAGCTCAGGAAGACCCTATAAAAGAAATAGTCTCTCTGTCACTGTTTTCCAAGTATGTACATTTGGAGAATTAATTTTAAATGGAAAGATGATTAGTCTATGTGATTTTTTTTAAAAAAACCCTTCCTTTACTATTTACCTTTACTTTACTATAGGCTGGAGCCAACACTGATGCGCATCAGAGAAGACAGGAAACGGATCATTCTCCCAGCAATAGACAACATTAAGTACAACACCTTTGAAGTGCAGCAGTATGCCAATGCAGCTCATGGCTACAACTGGGGGCTTTGGTGTATGTACATAATCCCACCTCAAGACTGGCTGGATAAGGGGGACGAATCTGCACCCATCAGGTAACTCTTCATGTTTTTTTTATCACTTCATAACAGAATTGATACCTGAATTAGGTTGCAGTGCTAACCTCTTTTGGAAAAAGGCATTCATAACCTTTTGGAAAATGCCTTTTGGAGATCATAATATTTTTAGAAAATCACAGAATCATAGAATCATAGGGTTGGAAGAGACCTCATGGGCCATCCAGTCCAACCCCCTGCCAAGAAGCAGGAATATTGCATTCAAATCACCCCTGACAGATGGCCATCCAGCCTCTGTTTAAAAGCTTCCAAAGAAGGAGCCTCCACCACACTCCGAGGCAGAGAGTTCCACAGCTGAACGGCTCTCACAGTCAGGAAGTTCTTCCTCATGTTCAGATGGAATCTCCTCTCTTGTAGTTTGAAGCCATTGTTCCGCGTCCTAGTCTCCAGGGAAGCAGAAAACAAGCTTGCTCCCTCCTCCCTGTGGCTTCCTCTCACATATTTATACATGGCTATCATATCTCCTCTCAGCCTTCTCTTCTTCAGGCTAAACATGCCCAGCTCCTAAGCCGCTCCTCATAGGGCTTGTTCTCCAGACCCTTGATCATTTTAGTCGCCCTCCTCTGGACACATTCCAGCTTGTCAATATCTCTCTTGAATTGTGGTGCCCAGAATTGGACACAATATTCCAGATGTGGTCTAACCAAAGCAGAATAGAGGGGTAGCATTACTTCCCTAGATCTAGACACTATGCTCCTATTGATGCAGGCCAAAATCCCATTGGCCTGCATCAATAGTATGACCTTTCAGAGAAGAGCCAAAAACCCTTTAGAGTAGAATCTTCTCTCGTGGTATACAAACAGATATAATTATGTTAGGCAATAGTTGTTAGACTGAATAACCTGTTGTTAGACTGAATAACCTGTTATCTCGGATCTGTTAGGGAAACAGGGATATGCCAGTGCACAAAAACAGCAGGAGTTTTAGAAGTATTTTCAGTTGCCCAAAATATATATACTCTCACATAAAACAACTTGCTTTATATCACACACTCAAGAGACAAAAATGAAGTAGACTTTTATTTAAAAAATAACATGTTTGGTTTACTCACACAACCTTCATGTGTTCAGCATACACAGGTACAAAAACGTATTAGTCCAGTTTCAAGCATCTTTGAGATGGTTCCTTGTGCCATCCAGCCAGGGCATCTCTCTTGTAACAAAACAGCTATCAACAGGTCACATAGTCAAAAGGAGAGAGAAGACAAGAGCATGAGCATGAGGTCTGCAGCCCCTTTTAAAACATCTCAGAAACCATAGAGTAAAGGACACTGCACACTAGAATATACATATAGGAAACGGGAAACAACAAGATCATAGATAAACATTAGTAGAGCAGGCTTGAAAAAGGTTGACATTTTCAACAATCTCAATGATATCAAAAAGCGTCTGATAGGAGTGGTGACTCTGAAGTGTGCACAGAGGAGTTTTCACTGCTGTGTTGGATGGGTCTACAACTTCGTGCCAAAGGTAAAATGGTATGCTTTTCTGTAGAGCTATATCTCAGGAGTCACATGCTAGTGAGGGGAGCTAAAGGGAACATCTCTTACCTGCCTTCTTCCCAGCATTTTCTTGTTGTTGTTGTTGTTGTCGTCGTCATCATCCTTACCACACACACTTCCTTTTTTGACAGCATCTTCTTCTCTACTCTCCTGCAGGCTATAAGGGTAGGATTAAATCTCTCTTCCTTGCTATCAAAACTGTCCAGGATTTGGTGCACAATTTTAGTGGTAGTACTGCAGAGCAGAGGGGAGAGGGATGCAGCTGTTGATTGAAATCCCAAGACCCAGGAGAGTGACTGTAACTTTAATTTATTTACCATATTTCACTGCATAATAGTCATACTTTTTTACTCGGGGGGGGGGGAGGGGTGTGTGACTATTATGCAGTGAATTCTTTTTTACAGCCTAGATGTCTTTTGGTGGCAGCATGTTGGACTGGATGGCCCTTGTGGTCTCTTCCAACTCTTTGCTTCGATAATTCTATGAAATTTCAGACTGTTGGAACTTCTCTTCCAGCAGGACAACTAAATTGAACTTGCTGCATGTATAGCTTGCCACACCCTGAAACAAGCACAAAGACATAGCATAGCTTTTGGTGGTCACTGCAGCAGCTACCTCATCATATATGTTCAGGCCTCTTATGCTGGAAGAAGTGTCACAGCACTCTGAGTCTCCCCCTTTAACTCATTCATGAAACATCCTGATACCCTTCTTCTGTTAGCTAAATTCATTGAACTCAAGACTGAGTGAGCAGATATATAGAATCATAGAATCATAGAGTTGGAAGAGACCTCATGGGCCATCTAGTCCAACTCCCTGCCAAGAAGCAGGCTAGTAGAGCTAGTAGACCCAACCAAGTAAGTGTTTCACTTCATCTCAGCATCCACTTAGACCAGTGGTTCTCATCCTTCCTAATGCCACAACCCGTTAATACAGTTCCTCATGTTGTGGTAACCCCCAACCAGAATATTATTTTAATTGCTACTTCATAACTGTAATTTGGATACTGTTATGAATTGTAATGTAAATATCTGATATGCAACATGTATTTTCATTCACTGGACCAAATTTGGCACAAATACCCGATACGCCCAAATCTGAATACTGGTGGGGTTACTGCTGGGGTTATACTGGTGAATACTGATTTTGTCATTTGGGAGTTGTAGTTGCTGGGATTTATAGTTCACCTACAATCAAAGAGCATTTTGTACTCCACCAATGATGCAGTTGAATCAAACTTGGCACACAGAACTCCCGTGACCTATAGAAAATACTGGAAGGGTTTGGAGGGCATTGACCTGGAGTTTTGAAGCTGTAGTTCACCTACATCCAGAGGGCACTGTGGAGTCAAACAATGATGGATCTGGACCAAACTTGGCACGAATACTCAATATGCCCAAATGTGAACACTGGTGGAGTTTGGGGGAAATAGACGTTGACATTTGGGAGTTGTAGTTGCTGGATTTTTTTAAATATATAATTTCTTATTGAAATTTTTAAAATAAAGGATACATCAGAGAGATGTCAATCATCAATACAGCTTATAATTTTAAAAAAAATAGCAGATCCCAAAAGAGGTGGGTTGGGTAGGTTTAGGGAGTGTGGAAAGTATGGGGAGGGGAGAAGAAAAAAGGGGGGGATGAAAGGGAGGGGAAGGAGGGGTGAAGGAAAGGGTGTGTAGGGGTTTAGAAATTAGGTGCGGGGAGAGTTAGTGCTTTTAATTACTGATTTTACCCCTTAAAGCATTGTTAGTATTAGTATGGTCTTCTTATCTTGTCTTTCGCGTGTCTATATCTGGTTGATGTTGAAATTTTTTCTAACTTGGAACCAGTCCGTCTTGTTCACACTCATCATTTGTTTGTTTTTCATGCACTGTGTTAGTACGTCTATGTTCATTATGTCTAAAAGTTTGAGCATCCATTCTTCCGCCGTTGGTATCTCTTTATTTTTCCATTTCCTGGCTAGTACCATTCTCGCCGCCATTGCCATATGAAAGAAGAGCGTATCTTTGTTCTTATCAAGTTCAGAGTCCAGTATACCCAGAAGGTAGTATTCTGCTTTCATCTCTTTTCTCATGCCAAGTATCTTGTTTGTTATTTCATGGATCTCTTTCCAGAATTTTTTAACTTTATCACACGTCCACCATAGATGGAAAAAGGTTCCCTTATTTTCTTGACATTTCCAGCAAGCTCCCAAGATGTTTTTATAGCATCTTGCCAATTTGCTTGGTGTAATGTACCATTGGTACATCATCTTGAGCCAATTTTCCCGTAGGTCGTAGTTGCTGGAATTTATAGTTCACCTACAATCAAAGAGCATTCTGAATTCCACCAATGACAGAATTGGGCCAAACTTCCCACACAGAACCCCCATGACCAACAGAAAATACTGTGTTTTCTGATGGTCTTTGGCAACCCCTGTAACCCCCTCTCATGACCCCTCCAGGGGTCCCAACTCCCATGTTGAGAAACGCTGACTTAGACTATGGCTGGATCTACCCTGCTATATAATCCACATTATCCACTTTGAACTGGATTATATGAGTCTATGCTGCCATATAATCCAGTGCAAAGCAGATAATTTGGATTTTAAATGGCAGTGTAGATAGGACCTGTATGTTCATGCAGACCACATGGCTCAAGATACATAAAAATACACAAACTATCTACTAAGTGCAGCCAGACAATCAGCTTGAACTAAAACATCACAAGCTTAATCTGATTCTATCTCTTATTTATTTATTTATTTCTAACATTTATATCCCGCCCTTCTCAACCCCTGAGAGGGGACTCAGAGCGGCTTACACTGGCAACAATTCGATGCCACAATGTACAAAACAATTATAACAGATATAACAAAAATTTAAAACAGTAAATAAAACAATGCAAAATGCCTATTATCCTTGTCCTGTTAACTTTCTTGGGTTTGCAAAGCTCCAGAGACTGAAGGAGGGGTTGAATAGAGCTAATAACTGTTGTCCTGGACATCCAATGTTCACAGTTGCTCTTTGTTCTAGAAGCTGATAACTAAAACAAATGGCCAGAATGTCTAGAGGGCACCAGATTGAGAAAAGGCTGAGGTGGTGTTTCTGTGGCCTTGGAGACATATTATGGCATCTTGTCAGTCCCACTGCAGCAGAAACAAATGAGAGGGCTGCAGGAGACTGACATGGGAGCCGCCACCACTACACAGCAAACTTGCAGTGAGTTCTTTGCCCAATGCCTGTGATATGCTAAGCAGAAGCGGTGGGGTCACTTTCGGGGGGACTTTGAGAAGGAGAAGGACATATGCTCCATCTCCCTACATCATTTTTCCTCTCTTCTCTTCACTCCAATTCTTTTTTCCCTACTTCACCAGGAAACCTCATCTACAGTGACAGAAGGTAGGTAGGTGGAAGTGTGTGGAAACAAGAGGGAAAACAACAAATGGGAAAGGGATGAAGCAGCTCCCCTCTTACGTGCTATGTTTCTCTTTCAAA